GTTTCAAGCGAAGGCGATGCAGGGCAAGCTCGTTTCGAAGCTCCATTATCCGTATAGGGAATCCCCTGTTCGTAACACGCGGTAGCAAGTCGGTTTGCCACATCCGGGAGAAATTCCTCAAGAAGATACCAATCGGGGCAAGATGCGCACTTGGCCACTGGGAAGGAAATACGCATGGGAACGACGCGAACCAACGGAGATGGTTTGCAGACATGCTGGTGTTGGGCTTCAGTACAGTCTGCAAAAGGAAAAGGGCGTTGTCCATCGTCGCGGATGAGATATTGGTCAAATGATGAACAGAGGTTGCGTCAATGGACCAGGCACAGAAAATTTGATGCAGAATTATGAAGAAAACGTCCCCGGATGACAATGCAGACATGAGAATCCGGGATCGCGGCAGGACAGTAGAGTCATTGGCTTCCAAGAGGCTGCTCTCGATCAGCTGTATTCGTGCGCTAAGAGTCTGACGCATCCAAACCCAGTCCATACTGATCTTGGCCAGAGGTGGGACTGGCTGCATGTTGTAAGTTGAGCCTGAATTTGAGCCGGAACTGAAGGTGGTAGGCTGGTGAATGAACGGGGCGCCTCCAGTTCTCACTTGGGCCGTTATCGCAGACTGACTTGGTACTATCGCTGAAATGGGCATACTTTGAGCGCCCTCGCGACTCGCAGGAGTGGTAGTCTCCCAGGCGCGCGATCTGTTGGGATTTGTGGGTGTTGGCAACTGACCGGGTTCTGCAAGGCGGGGAGGGTGTTGTCGGAGAGTGTGCGACGCAGTGGATTCAGGAGCAGAAGCCGCCACAACTCTGAAGCTCGCTGGCCGCTCAAATGTAAAAGAACCCGGGGCAGGACTTGCCAGGGGAGTCGTAGATGAAGGACTTGGCTCGTCTGTGGGGGATGGCGATGGAAGCGCTGTTTCTGATTCCTCACTGCCGATGATCAGTTTCAGCTTCTTCACAATCGTGTAGCCCGTCCTTGCCTACAGAAGCAACAGGAGGGCGGAGAGCACTTACGTGGCAATTTTTGGACCTGCCGCAGTGCCCTTCTGCTGAGATATTCTAGGGAACGGGTCTCGTTCGATGTTTGACGGGGGAGGGCCTTGTAATCTGGATGTCGTTGGAGGCTGCCGACCACCGACAAAGGCAGGTTGCGGTGGTTGTGTTTGGGTATGCCTAATCTTGGGGGTTATCCATGCTGGCCGAGGACCACCGAGGAAGGCGTTGACAGTTCGATTAGAGGCCGTAACCTGGGCGTCACTGAGGTTCATGCCTTGACGCCCTGGCGGAGGCATGTTCAAGCGGGAGATGGAAGCGGGAGATCTTTGGTAAATATCGAAATGCTATAGGGCCTCGCGAGTCTGATAGCAAACAACTGTCGACATCCTCATAAGCAAGAGTCAGTATCAGCACAGGGGAGAACTAACCATGGGAAGCCCGATTATGTCCCATGCGGCGGAAGGCAAGAAGTTGGAGGAAAGATGTCGGAGGCTCACTGTAACACGCGTTACTACCCCGGGTTGCGTAATGGAGCGCCGTGTCGCAAGGGTGGTAATGCGACGGAGAACATTGATCGGGAAGCAGCTTGTGGTCCCAATGCTTTGACGGAGTTCTTCGGTTATCCTTGAAATGACTACAAGCCGTCTGATGTTCTCGCTGGTCGTATCGTGAAGTGCGCTTGAAGTGCGACTGAAGATGGGCAAAATGAAGTCTGGGTGGAGCGTGGTAATGGACTAACATGGAGCTGATCCGCCGGTGGAGTTGAAAGGCAGGGAACTTGGAGGTAAGGTAATGAGGCAAAGCAGGGCCTCTTGAACAGAAAGGGCTAGCCCGCTTTGTGAGGTACCTAGTCACCCCTAAGGCACCTACCTACCTACCCAAGCTTGCCAAGCTACCTAAGAAGTGCTACTCCATCTTCAAAGACCTCCACTAGGCACGGCCACAGGCTTGTCCTGACAGGCGGGGCCTGTCTAGGTAGATACCTAGGTACCTACCTAGGTACCGTGGTAAGGTACTTCGGGCCTGCTGGCTGCTGCTGCTGCTACTACCGTATCATAGTGCATATGCTTGTCAGCCCTGAATTCTAATAGACATCACATCGCGGAAAGCGACATGTCGAAAGACATTGGAGCTGCATTCATCGTGATCAATAGACTCGGCTGGGAAAGAGCTACCTGGTCGTCAAAAGAGTCGTATCCCGGAAGAATAGACCGTATCAACGCTGATACAACCTGTATGCTGCTCTTCATTGTCGCGGTGCAGCACACAATGATCAAAGTCATGTAACGTCATTTCATAAGTGCACTCTGACTGTTAAATACAAACGTAGATGCAGTAGGAAACCTGTAATTTCCATATTCGATGTAATACACCTGAATTAAGGTAGCTACCCGTCGAAACACGGTACTCAATGGATTGCCACTTCAGCAGGACGGCCATCAGGTTTGGGCAAGTCAGATGTGAGGCTCAGAATATCTGTATTGGGCTGCTTCCCCTAGGCAATCACAAATGGGGCACCAACCCTGAGGCAGTAGTGGATCCAGCAATCTAGCCAGCTGTCAGGACAGGCTTTCAGTTCAATAAGGGGGGATGCTGGTGTGCGCATGGCTGGTGTTGTAGGGAATTCCTTCACTGCAATAAGGATGCGGCAACCATGTAACTCGTCGAGTTTTGAGCTGCGGTCTGCGGCAACCATCTGACCTCGTCTTCTGACGATATATTCTGCCTCCCAATCTTCGCTCTGGTTTCCCCTGGATCACTTGATCCAGACGACCCGTCAACACGCGGAACACAACAATCCTGCATCGCTTGTACGTCACCGCACTCTGTTGCCCATGTGCATTGCCTACCTAGAATCGATACGGAAGTAATCTGCCCTTCGACAATGCAGCGGAAGTGCTCTTCGGGCCCCTGTGGCGGGTCCGGTACCTGGCCAGACCATTCGTCATTTTTGGCTCCACTCTGTTTGGCTTTAGGCGGCGCGAGGTTCAACACGCCTTTCCCTTTTCCTCTCTTCCGCCATCTTCATCTACTGTCTTGGTCGCTCACCAATCAGTCCATCAATCCACACTCAGATGCATCCGAGTCAGTACTCAACCCTGACGAGCTGACAGTCGTGATAGATTCCTATCCACGTTTTTCCTCAAGGCCCTTCCTTTGCATCATTGTCACCTTCCCCTCCTCCCTGCCGATCAACTACCCGGGACAATCTCACCCCACCGCTGGGATCCCACCCATTCGTAGTGGCTCGGCTCCTTATCCTTAATACAGAAACGGACCTACCTAATAATCGTACCTTATCCAACCCCCCTCCCCCAGTCGAACAATCGAGCGCCGACCCTCCGACCTGCCTCGTCTGGCCACCAGGTTCTTTTGCGCCATTCGCCCATGCCCAATAGCCATCCTCCACGCTCGTTCCTGTTCTCGACGATCCCCTCCAATCATATCTCGATGCGACGCCATTGATCAGTACTCCATACTCCAGCCTCCAACCTCCGTCCCTCTACCTTGCAGCTTTCACGGCGACTGTTCGTGCCACTCCTCAACTCCCTCGCCACCACCTCGGCGACGAGGCAGCCATTAGCCAACGAGACAGGCGACGACCCCCTGACGACACGATTTCTGGGTGCGAGTCCCATTGTCATTGCCGCAGAGCTCGAACTACGACCCCATTCTCTTGCCCTATCCAGCCTACCTCGACGACCACGTTTGACATTTCGCTTCCTCCATTCGGCCCTCTATTGCGCACACCACCCGCTGGCTGTTCCCATAGTCCGAATGTGATTTCGTCGAGCCTCATTGTCTTTCACCAGCGCCTCCAGCTCCTGTCAAGCTGCAACTGCCGTCGCGGGACGTGATGGCTGCGAGACCACAAAACGAGGGCCATCCCAAGCCAGATGCTGGCGACACCCTTCTTGTCATTCGTAAGTCCGGTTGACGATGTTGATCCTCCGTGCTTTCTCCGCGGCGATCTACCGTTGTCGTATCCTCGCAACCATGCCTGGATTGCTTCTAATTTTCTGTAGATGACTTCCTTGCGAGAAGCTCTGACGAGCTAAGTCTTGTCAAAGGTGACCGTGTCGAGCTGATCGAAAGAGACGATGAATTTGGTGACGGCTGGTTTCTGGGCAAACACCTTGCGAACGGCAACAGCGGGCTCTTTCCCGAAGGTATGCAGACCACCTTGACTCCAAATCCGCCCCTTGACTAACCCTACGCCTTCTAGTGTACACACGACCTGCACCGAAAATCCAACATGCGAATGCCCCTTTGAACCATGTACCCAGCGCCAAAGCGATCGAATCGCCAGCTGAGCCATCGCAAAATATAGGGAGTTCTAACACAGTTGACCCTGCCCAAAGCGTGTCCGTTCCGGCCACACCACCTGTTGCGTCTCCTTCGAGTACAGATGCTGCAACTCCCGTAACGCTTCCCCTGAATGCAGCCAAGAAAGACGACGTCCCAAGCCAGCCTCAGCCATCAATCTCCGGACCCAGTTTTGGCTCGCTCAGCAGTCTCGAGGCCGGCCCGGACAGCCACGTTCTCCACGAGACATTGAATGTCATTGACGAACACATAACCGATCTACGATCTCCGCCAAGCTCAAGTGGTCTTCGTGCCGCCACCAACGATTCGGGCAGCGAATACAGCACCCAACTCGATCATCGGCTCTCCTACATCCAGGGTGAAGAGACAGATGAAGAAGAAGAGGGGGCTCACTCAAGGCTCGAAGTGGAGGCATGGTCGCCTGACCAAGTCGCGGAGCATCTTTTCACGGCAGGTGTCGAAAAGCATCACTGTGAAGTGTTTCGCGATCAGGAGATTACTGGCGACGTTCTTTTGGGCATGGACCAGAGTTCTCTTTTCATCAAAGCATTCGACCTGGGGTCTGTGGGACGGCGGCTTAAGACATGGCAGAAGATCAAAGCACTGCAGGACGAATGTAATGGGCAGGGCATTGCCACTAAAAGGACGACGCAGACGTACGGCAGCGATGCTGGCTCGGATGGTAGACGGACCCGAAGTAGGACAAGCACCATGACCAACTCCATGCACAGATTACCACCGGGCGACGACAGGACCATGTCGATACAAACGAGACGCCTATCCATCACACAAACACCACGGATGGAAGCAGCAGGGCTCGTTTCGCCCATCTCCTCGACGGTGCTAGGAGATAGCCCCCCCCCGACCATCTCACATCAAACGACCATCTGCCGCATCTGTTAGAGACTTACATCACTCGCGACGCCACTCTTCCACCGATTATCTTGGGACCGGCACAACCCCCGCGGCCAACATAATAAGCCCGAAATTGGAAACAAGCGGAACATTCCCTCAAGTCGATACTACTACCACACACAAGAAGCAACCCTCATTTGACAGGAACTGGTCACTCGGGAATGCCTTTTCATCGCCACGCCCTCTCTCTTCTGCCGGATTACAGGACGCAATGCATCAGTCTGGACTTAGTGTGCAGGAAACGGCACCTGACCTGGATCGCGGATATTTCAGTGGGAATGAAGTGGATGGCCGGCGGCGTAATGTGCTGAGGAAACGCGACAGCGGTGCTCATTCGAAGAAGAACAGCTACGCTGACGAGCAACGTGTGCGAAGTGCAACAGCGATATCAAGACACTCGCGGTATGGGAGCATTGATGCTCCTCGCGAAGGTGCACCATCTGCAGCTGCACAAAAGTACTACGGTCTCCAATCAGGCCCTCATAAACGTGCCACGTCTACCAGCACTACTCGATCTATCCCACGCGTACCATCGATCCGGGAAGTACCGTCACCCGTTGTCACCAAGCTTGATAGCGCGTCCAGAGACTTGCCTCTCGTTTCGGGGTCGCCTGCCAATAGGCAAAACGTAAACTCTGACTGGTTGGCGTCGCTTGTCAATAAGCCCACAGTCAAGATTGGCGGCTTGAGAGCGACTTCGGACATCTCATCTGGAGAGCGCGTACGAATCACGTCACCCGTCGATACGACTGTCAAGGATTCGCCTCTGCCTTCTCCTGCACCAACGGGGTCCAGCACGCCGTCCGCAGGGCCGAGCTTCGACCTGGAATCGCCTGGAAATGGGAAAATGAGCCCTAGCACCACGACAACAGCCGCTAGTAAAAACAGCCGCAGGAAGGGAAAGAAGGAAACAAGCGCCTATCAACGAGGACTGCAGAAGATTGGACCGAAAGAGGCCATGAAAGACGCAGATTACAGCGGGTGGATGAAAAAGAAGAGCTCGAATCTGATGACGACCTGGAAGCCTCGACTTTTTGTCCTGAAAGGAAGACGTCTGGCCTACTTCTATTCAGAAAATGACCAGCAAGAGAAGGGCTTGATCGATATCTCTTTCCACCGTGTGCTGCCAGCAGACAATGAGAAGCTGACAGGTCTTCACGCGACCCTGACTGGGGCGGGATCTGCCGCAGCACCTGCCGCCAGCACTCTCGCGCAACCAGAGGTCGCCCTGGACAAGGGAGACGACTCGATGTTTATTTTCAAGCTCGTACCCCCGCGCACAGGACTGACCCGCGCGGTCAATTTCACCAAGCCCACAGTCCACTATTTTGCAGTCCCTAATCTGCAGCAGGGACGACTATGGATGGCAGCTCTCGTCAAGGCTACCATCGACCGGGACGATACTCAACCTATAACCACGACATACCAGCAGAAGACCATATCACTTGCGAAAGCAAGGGCCATGCGTCACCGACCACCTGCACTAATGAACCTGGACGAGACACCCGAGGAGGACAAGAAGAACGTGGGAGTCTCCAACAAGGACGCAAATCTCCTCGGTATTCATTTCGGCGAGACGGACAGTGGTGTGTCCGGCTTGGAGAAGCCGGGCCCACAAAAGGTAGAAAGCGCCAACGCGCAGAAGCTCTTCTTTGATGCTGAAAGCAGTGCCACTCCTCCGCCTCAGAGCGCATAGAGGCGCCTACGGGGTTTACGGCCACTGCGAAAGAATGCTGGCGAGACCCCGGCAGCGTGATTGGAGCCTGGCTTGGTCAACTTCGTCAGTGCGTCATCGTTGATATTTCGATTTCTGGAGACACAATTAATGAAGAGGTGGTTCGAGCGCGAAACGCATTTAACACTGCAGCTGATAGTTTGAGTGTTATCATCATTGGGAAGAGATACTCGTCATCGATCCAGACATTCGCCGAATCAAGGCCACCCATCCCAGTCTGGCCCCTTGTCGGGTTCAGGAGCCCTGGGGCGTTGGCCTTAAGATCTGGTCTGCGATGGTGTCGATGATGCCCCTGTAGCAGGGGGTAACGGGGCAGGGAGCTCTGAGACGCGATACGCCACCGACCAGCGTGTACATGGTTTGCTTGTTCATGAGTACAATGACGGCTGGTTCTAGCTAGACATATCTACTATCCTGGTAGATCACCTATATGATGCGGACAATTTCAGTTCGAAATGTTCTTTACGCCTGACAGGCTTCACTTACGACGGTGACAATTCATGACGATGCTGAGCATGCCCCTTTGGATGCAACGGCCTAGAAGGCCAAATTCTGACAGCTTAGGAGATGACTCCTCATCAAAGCTTGGCCTTCTTTCCATTCACTCGAGGTTTGACCGGAATCTTGGGGTGGCCACCATCCAGTGTCAGGCCCGTGATCTTCTCCAGCTCTTCGACGGCTTCGAAAGCCCGGCCCAGATGGACCTTGATCGTCCTAAAGCCTTTTTGCTTTCCACCTTTCAGGTTCTCGCCGATGTCGTCAAGAAACAAGACGTCACCCGCAGTGACGCCGTCGGCCCATCCGCACCTTCGTCCCCTCTCCGTATCAGCATTCTTGGCGACAAACTGGCTAACCGTATCGAGAGCAAGCTGGTATGCTTTGGGGTCCGGCTTCCGTAGTCCCACGTGCGCCGAGGAAACAAAGACGTCAAACAAACCACGGACGGGGTCGTCAAGGAAGTCTTCTTTCCAGAGAGGGTGCCCGCGCGGGAAAATAACCGTATTACTCAATGCCGCGAGTACATAACGCCCGCTCTCCTTAAGTTTCTTCAAGGCAGGGAACATCCAGGGGTCTGGTGGAATCGAGTTGACCATCATCTCGTGGAACAGCTTCTCCCCATCGATAGATGGTACCGGGGGGGTTTCCCTAGGCAAACTAGGGTCCTTGGCCTGTTGCTCCCGGTAGAACTGCTCCCACCTAGTAGGATCACTCAGATCTTGATTGAAGCCCCTGAAGAATGCGTCGTCCATGGGGATGGATCCCGTTTCCAGCCGGTGCCAGAATCCGTTTGGCTTCGTCTTAGAGATGGAGTTGTTGACCCATCCTGGCGGAATGCCGAGGCCCAGCTCGTAGTCCAGGATTGACTGAAAGGGAGAAACAACCTGCCGACTATGAGACCTCACGACAATGACAGGAAGGCAGCCATCGACTTACACACACGCCGCCAATATCAAACAGAATAACTTTGGGCTGCTTAGAGTCCACCATGTCGGCGACGACGTCGAGAATAGAATCAACCTGGATTGAATCAAGCTGGTCAAGGGACTGCATCAGGTTCAGCGAGGACGACTATTCCAGCGACACAAAACACCCAGCGGAGGAGGACTGTGAGGTATTGGCGCCGGCGACCGAGTCCCGCGAACCTCGGCACAGCTCCCCGCAGAGATCGGATGGGGGCCTGGGGTACCGCGACGGTTGGATATCCGTATCCTTGACGATTGCCCCCTTTACATAAGCACATATACACGTGACTCGTGGCCAACCTGGCAAGCCTGGTCTCTCGTCCCCCACCAGGCTTCCCGCCCTCGCCTGGGTCCCTGACACCAGCCCACTTTGAGACTTATGGCGGGGCTGATAGGGCACGGCGACTTCAGAAATTCACCAGTGCCCACAGAATTTGGACCGGCTCTCTTTCAGGAATTCGAGATCGCGAACTTTTTTCGACCTTCACCTCCTCAACCCACCCATCACCTACTGACCTGTTTGCTGAGCACCTGCCAGCCAACCTACAGTCAAAATGGTAAGTTGAATACCACAGCGACTTGATGTCGTTGCCTATCCTAGGCCACGACACAAACAAAAGTCAATTGTCCTCAGTACCCGGCAGAAATGCCTTGATAGAGAGTCTTTGCAAGATGCTTCGGATCGAGGGTACAATCTGAAGCGCAAATTGCTGACTCGGGGGTTCTCTTTGCGCAGACGTTCCACAAGCTGGTGAAGAACAACGCGTACTACAGGTAAGCACGCACCTTTGGGGACCCGAATCATCCCAATTCCTCGTCGTCGGTCAATGCTAACATGTAGCCCAGTCGCTTCCAGACCAAGTACAAGCGTAGGCAGCAGGGCAAGACCGACTACTACGCTCGCAAGCGCCTCATCACCCAGGCCAAGAACAAGTACAATGCGCCCAAGTACCGCATGGTCGTCCGCTTCACCAACAAGGACATCATTTGCCAGATCGTCACCTCTGAGATCTCTGGCGACAAGGTCTTCAGCGCCGCTTACGCCCACGAGCTCCCCGCTTTCGGCATCAAGCACGGTCTGACCAACTGGTCCGCCGCTTACGCCACCGGTCTCCTCCTCGCCCGCCGCACTCTTAGCAAGCTCGGCCTCGACAAGGAGTTCACCGGTGTTGAGGAGGCTGATGGCGAGTTCACCCTCACTGAGGCCGCCGAGACCGACGATGGCGAGCGCCGTCCCTTCAAGGCCTTCCTCGACGTCGGCCTTGCTCGCACCTCCACCGGTGCCCGTGTCTTCGGCGCCATGAAGGGTGCCTCCGACGGTGGCATTCTCATCCCCCACAACGAGAAGCGTTTCCCCGGTTACGACATGGAGTCCAAGGAGCTGGACGCTGAGACCCTCAAGCGTTACATCTTCGGTGGCCACGTTGCCGAGTACATGGAGACCCTCGCCGATGACGATGAGGAGCGCTACAAGTCCCAGTTCCAGCAGTACGTCGATGACGATGTCGAGGCTGACGGCGTTGAGGACATGTACACCGAGGCCCACGCCGCCATCCGTGAGGACCCCTGGAAGAAGGTCGAGGGCTCCAAGAAGACCAAGGAGGAGTGGAAGGCCGAGTCCCTCAAGTACAAGACTGCCCGCCTCACCAAGGAGGAGAAGGAGCAGCGCGTGCGCGAGAGGATCGTCGCCCTCCGCGACGAGTAAGCTTCTGGCACTTGGTTTGCTGGGTGCATGGCGGTGGTACGGGGCAGTGGCCCGCTTGTCCTAGTGTAGGACTGGCAGGGCGGCTGCAAAAAGCAATGACGTCTCGACATGATACGGGTCGTACTGGAGTTATAAGGATTCCTGGCAGGTTCATAGTCAAAAGGACGTTGCGACAAATGATTGATGGATTCCCCCCTTTTCAAGCACCTGTGCCCCCAGTTTTAAGCTGGCCGTGAGTGGTCGTGTGACGAAGCCGAGAGTGTTCCATCGTCAAGGATGATATAAAACAGAACCCGTAATCTTGAGGCGACGGTGTAACTATCCGCCACAAGGACACGGGCGTCTTGGTCGGACTCAATGGTGGACCCTTCGGTAATCACGTCAGCGTGTGCAGATAGGATTGCGAGACTCTGAGGCCGGCAGACTTCGGTTTCGGCAGGCACATAGAGGCGTTGCTCCCGCCGAAGAGAATGGGTAGCTTAGAGTCATTCGTGTAAGCTGATGGGAACCCTGACGGAGTCTGATTGTGAGAGGGGGGGGGAAGGGGGCATGGTGGGAAAGGCGCTGAACAGCGCTTCCATCCAGGGCTATTGGATACATTTTTCCATCGGCATCTGGAATCTTGCTTACCCTCCCCGCGGCATCCCCTTGAGCAGCCCGCACGGCAGTCAAGGTCGGGGAATTTTTCTCGCTCGGAGGCGCACTGGCACGGTGACACATAGGGTTTGCAAGGTGGTATTCGCATGGTCGGCTGGCCAAGGCTCAAGAGGGACGAATTGCCGACAGGCCGAGTCTTCGGACAAGTTCGGTTGTCAATTGACTGTGATCGGCGAACGCGGCGATTGGTATGTTTCAATACTGAGTATCACGCAGGTTTGGGGGGGGAGGGGGGGTGGTATTCGAGTTCTGTCGTCATGGTGTGGTCGGAAATTCCGTCAGGCCTTGGGCGTGGAAAATCCTCCCCACAGAGGGACGCGACCAAACATGCACACCACTGGCATCCATCATGGAGCGGAGCGCCGGGTGGGCACTCTGACGTTGGTGAGCGGGCAAGCAGTATAGTAGCTACCCGCCTGGGTAGGTCGAGGGACACCTCAGTAAGCAATCGGCATCTTTGAGGGCTCCAGCGACCGAGACCATCGGCGATGGACCTGTTTTGGGGCAGTCCATTCTAAAGCGCAGCCGGGGCAGTGGATGTGAGTGCTGTCGGTGCGGGCTTACAGGGCTGTGCGAAT